GGACTACGTCTCCTGGTTATGACCTACCAGGAGGGACTGCAAATGATGCATCCACCCACCATAGTATGATGACACGGTTATACATCAACGCTGAGTATCAACTTGTCCTTCCACCTGTTTGTTCGAAGGACTTCCATCCGTTGAATCAACTTGCCGCAGTCATCAACTGTGGGATTCCTCACACGTCTCACAGAACAATTGTCCAGTGTTGGTGACATGCTGGTCTTCTCTATTGCACGCGCAACTAACAGCTTGGGCTGGCGTATGGGATCTCTCTCTTGTTTTGGAAGTGGCGCGGTGCTGTCTGTGTCTGCGAAACAGAAATTGAATTCGAGGAGCAGCACGGAAGCGGAATTGATTGGAGCTGACGATGTCATGTCGCCCATGCTGTGGGCAAAGTTGTTCCTTGAAGAGCAGGGGATAGTTGTGAAGGACAACATCCTCATGCAGGACAACAAAAGCACGATCATTCTTGCAGAGAATGGCAAAGGCAGTTCAGGAAAGAGGACTCGGGCCATCAACATTCGTTTCTTTTTCATTCACGATCAGATTGGCAAAGGCAACCTCAGAGTGGTGTACTGCCCAACCTTGGAGATGCGTGGAGATTTTTTCACGAAGCCCCTTCAGGGCAAGCTCTTCCACGAGCACAGGGCTTTCATCATGGGGCATCCACCCCTTGTTTGATTGCCTAATTTATTTTATTCGTTCCACGGTAGCCACTTAGGGCACCGTGCAGGAGTGTGTTGGAGGAAATATACCTGACACCTCTTTACTATTGACTCGTGTATTAATCATCTAGTCCGGTTCGCATGCAAATTCATCATGCAAGGAACCGAGGGAGTTTTAGGTCTAAAGTGTTACGGGGGTCCTTATATCCAATTCAATCACAAGAATTGCTATGCACCACCAGAAAATCCTCACTTTTGCTTTTCAGTGTTGTTTGCTAGTAATGCACTCTTGTGCTTGCTTGTTCCTTGGAACTAGCTTGTGTTTTGGCGTGGATACTCCTGCAGGAAGGATCTCACGACGGACACTCCTGCAGGAAGGATCTCACGACGGACACTACTCTTGTAGTTGCGTGTAAAAGCTTCTTGTTGGCTGGATAGCCTTCTTTTGTGCACTCTTGGTGTACTGGCTGAATAGCCTCTGTCGTTGACAGCTCACGTAAAACGTGGTTCTTCGTGTTTCTTGGTGGAGCCTTGGGTAGTAGCGAACTGCCTCTGTCGGTCTCCTGTCTCTGCTTTCTTGCTGCAGGACGTTGTATTGATGTTAGATGAGTGCACTGAGTGAGTAACAATGACTGGATCAGTTCTCTCGTGAAGATATGGTTCTCCGTGATACTTATGAGCTTCCTCGTGATTTTTGTGTTTCTCTTCACAGTAGCACTGTATCACTCGAATCAACCTATCTCACTCAATTCTTGGAGTTAGAAGCTTGCACTGATACTCAGAGATGCGGCTAGATGTCCTCTATCGATTGATGTATGGGACCTCTTGCTTGCGACGTCTGTGTCAGGATCTATCTTGATCCCCGTGCGTTGACTTCTGCTCGACGTGATGAGACGTATGAAAATCACGAAATCTCGCGCGATGACGTAATCGACTTCAACTCGCTGGATAAGAGGACTTCCGCGATGGCGACAATAGTAAATCCGTGTGGAATCTTCTTCTTGATCTACCGATACTCTTGGATCAACGTAGTTCCGGCCGGAAACTGTTTGATCGATCGGTGACTTCCGAATGGGATTGAAGATGGGAATTCCCGCGCACGCACCTCTTTCGTGTTAGAGCTGTTTGGTATCCTTTATAGTGTGGCTGTGTGCAGTATTTGCGCACCTCTCCTCTGTTGCAGTGGTTAACTCAATACACTTTGACTTGATAGTCTTGGATCAACTTGGTGATATCAATCTCGAGATTGTTGATCTTGCTTCGAACTCGAGATGAGACTTTTGCTTTTCAGTGTTGTTTGCTAGTAATACTGCAGCTTATTGGGGAGTAATTTGGTTTTAGATTAAGCTGAAAAGCAAAAGTGAGGATTTTCTGGTGGTGCATAGCAATTCTTGTGATTGAATTGGATATAAGGACCCCCGTAACACTTTAGACCTAAAACTCCCTCGGTTCCTTGCATGATGAATTTGCGTGCGAACCGGACTAGATGATTAATACACGAGTCAATAGTAAAGAGGCGTCAGGTATATTTCCTCCAACAGTGTTGCTACTACACCCAGTACTTGAGTGTACGCAATGTGATCCCATGTTCAAGTCAAGGTCTGCAAGGACAAAGAGAACCACGCTTAGAAAGTCTGATGTACAAGGTGATGCAAACGTTGACTTTGACATCAATGTCCGATTTGTACTAGCATTTGTGGGTAGTGGAGATGGTGGAACGGAGGCTGCAAGGCTATTGAGCTTTCTGTCTCTTCCTGGGGCAAATTCAATGGAAAGGAGAACATTCTCTCAAATCGAGTGGCAAGTGGCTCCCTACGTTGAATACGTAGTGGAAGGGTACCTGCATGACAATCTGATGGAAGAGATAAGACTGACGTATATAGGAAGGAAAGATGAGTTGAAGCAGTGGCGAGACAGTCTAGTCACAGGCGACTCACCTCCAGAAGGTAACCAACTTCCATACATAGGAACTTCCACCGATATGGGATGGAATAAGCGATTGAGCGACAGGACGTGTGTCCCGATGTATATTTCGTTTGCCCTTTTTGAGATGGCCTGGAGAGCCGTACTAGGAGTACGGGTCCGGCCTAGGCAAAACCCTGTGTAGGAGAGGGTTTGGAGTTGGAATCCTCAGAAGATGTGGGAGAAGAGGATGAAGAGTCAGATTCCTTATTGGTGGGAGAGAACAGTTCGGCACATATGTTACTGGTAGAAGGGCAGGTAGCTTTCTTCTTCTTCTTCTTCAACTTCTTTTTCCCTTTCTTGGTGGAGGTGACTTTGTTCCAGGGTTGGGCAATCTCGCCAGAGGCGTCTGCAACACTGTCGGACTCGACATGGAGGTTGGGACGGTGACGAAGTTTGCATTGGGTCATGGATGATTCTGGCATGGTGCGAGTAACAAGAGAGCGCGTAGCACCGACATCAGGTGTTGTTTGTCTAGCTAAAAGGCTAGCACTGCAGCTTATTGAGGGGTAATTTGGTTTTGGTTTAAGCTGAAAAGCAAAAGTGAGGATTTTCTGGTGGTGCATAGCAATTCTTGTGATTAAATTGGATATAAGGACCCCCGTAACACTTTAGACCTAAAATTCCCTCGGTTCCTTGCATCATGAATATGCATGCGAACCTGACTAGATTTAATACACGAGTCAATAATAATTTGAGGTATGGGGAATATATCCTCTAACACACTCCTGTACGGTGCCCTAATGGCTACCGTGGAACGAATAAATAATTTGCAAATCAAACAGGGGGTGGATGCCCCATGATGAATGCTCGCTGCTCATGGAACAGCCTGCCCTGAAGGGGCTTGGTTAGAAAGTCACCGCGCATCTCCAATGTTGGGCAATAGACTACTCCAAGGTTCCCTTGTTGATTTGGTCATGAACAAAGAAAAAACGAATGTCCAGAGCCCGAGTCCTCTTGCCCGAACTGCTCTTGCCGTTCTCCGCAAGAATGATTGTGCTCTTGTTGTCCTGCATGAGGATGTTGTCCTCAACAATGATGCCCTGTTCTTCAAGGAACAACTTGGTCCAAAGCATAGGGGACATCACGTCATCCACTCCAATCAGCTCAGCCTCTGTGCTGCTTCTTGAGTTCAGCTTCTGCTTCGCGGATACTGACAACACCGCCCCACTTCCAAAGGACAGGATTGCTCCTGTGTGTGAGCGGTAATCAGGATGGACTGCAAAGGATGCATCCACCCACCAAGTGATGATGCGTATGTCATCGATTTTTAATTACTTATTTAGGTTAACAACCTATTGGGTCCGGAGGACCTTTTTCTACGCTGGCACGTGATGAGCCCGAGGGCCCAAACAGCTGAGTCGTATACCATTGACAAATTGCACAATAGGAAGATTCACGGTGCACACCAAGCTTCAACACTGCAGGAGGACAGGCCACTCATAGTAGCACGGCTACACTATCCTATAGTCTCACCGCCGTTCACTTCCGCCCCATGAACAAGGGGCAGGTCCCTACAGCTCTACTTACAACGGAAGTGTGCATCTTCCCATCATGACCTGGAGCACGGTGGCCTAGCCAGGATTTAACCTATTAGAAGGGTGCTGATCGGCAACAGTCATCATCGATCCACCTCCACCACAGGTGCGTCTGAGTGATCAGGTCCCATGCTGTGGCCATTGCCTTGTCGTGCAAGGCAAGATGCCAGCAGAGTCCATAGGCGGTGGCGCACCTAAGACTGGACCATGTCAGGGTATGACCTATCCAGTGGGCGAACAGTGTCAGGCAGAAGCCGACAAAGAGCCATGCGATAGGGCCAAGTGACGCACTGGCAGGCAGTGGCTCCCAAAGGGGAGGCACAGTGTCTGCTGGGGCGGTGTGGACTGTAAGAGGGATTGTGGGGTGGATGTTGGAGGGGTGGTTGTGGGCTGTAGGTGGTATGGTGCTGGAGGGAGGAGGGTAGGATGTGTTTGCTGTGGGAGGCATGATGGTTGGTTGATGGAAAGGTTGTTGTATCGTGTAATGTTGACTGTCGGGTCGTTGCTGCAACTCAAGCACAGGGATTGCTTGTGAGGTGGAGAGGAGGATTAATTCGAAGGAATCTATTCAAGGAGGCCAATGCTCTGGGGCACTGCCAATCAGGGTATGGATCAAAGCTGTTGGGTGGAGATGGCCACTGGTTCAGAGGCTGGGTCCCAATCTAGTACAGTTACCACAAACTGCAAAAGGAAGGAATCAAAGCCAAAGGCTGATAGGGATTCTTTCAGGGAAAACTGGAGAAGTCACGCTATAGCCAGTAGAGGCAGTGGTGGGGGGATCAAGGGGTGTTGGTGGTTGATGGGGCTGTGTTACTGGTTGACACTGTGTCGTCTCAAAGGCTGGTACTCAATCTGGTGAAGGCCACCACAGACTTCAACAGAGAGTCAAGCCAAGATTTGTAGAGGGTACTCGATTCAGTGGAATGGACAAAGACTGAGGAGTCACTCAACAATCAGCTAGAGAGGTAATAGAGTCAGACGGTGGTTGATATCTGAGCCACACCATGCTGCAGTTCTGACTGGGGCTCAATCCTTTGGAGTCAGACACACTCAGTAGGAGAGTCAGGAGCAGGAGCAGAGAGGTGGCTGGTTCAATAAGGGAGGTGTTGCACAATCTAGCTGTGATGCTAGAGGGGCAACTTTTGTTGGTTCTTGTGGGGGTGAGATCCTTTGGAGAGAAACCGACCAAGAAAGCAGCCGAGCCTGGAGATAGCAGAATTCAAGTCCTTACAGGAACTCTGTTGTTGTTTGTTGTTCCTCTGGGAGAGGAGTTAGATATCAATGGGGGAGTGGTAACAGTAGCAGGAGATATCAGTGCCAACAAGGACGTCGGGAGAAACCACTAGTGGCCAGTGAGAAAGTAAGAATACAGGTGTAATTCTCTTCTCGGTGGTCACTGCAGGTATCTCGTGAAGTCCTTCTTGATGATAGTAGAGGCTGAAGTGCGATCCGAGGAAGAGGGACGTAGTGTTGGGGATTCGCGATTAGGGATTCAACCCCTGTACCTCTGTACTAGAATTTCACAGTAGAAATACAGAGCCCACCCACTTTTTCAGTAGTATCTCAATAGCAACAGTAAACTAGAAGAGAGCTTAGAGCAACTAACATACTACTGAAAAAGGCGGTCTACTATCGAATCGAAGAAGCGAATCAGTGAAGAGGAGCCTATCGAGTCAACGGTAGCAGGAGGAAGATCGCGACGCGAGAAGAAGATCGATAGAGACCAAGCCTGTCGTTTCGACAGCAACGACGCAATCGGCCGACGCCGAACGCGACGCAAGATCGGACGACCGAGGATCGTCGTGCCGAACAAGAGAAGACTGTCGAAGGATCGACAGCACCGAAGAGAGAAGCCTGTCGAAGCAACGACAGCAACAAGGATTCGAGGACGAGTCCAAGCCGCGACGAAGCAAGGATCCGAGGACGGATCGCGACGACGCGAGAAGAGACTGCAGCCGCCGTCGACGACGACGCAGCAGAGTTTCACCGGCAGAATCCACAAG